TATTGTTTGATTCTTGTATGTGCCCTGACTGGGGATTGAATCTGCAACCTTGGAATATCAGGATGACACTCTAACCAACTGAGCTACTTGACCAAGATAAAGAGTTTTTTATTTACACACATCTTTGTATATTTTATATATGTACATCCTATATCAAATTTGTGATTTGTAAGTGTTTATTTTCCCAGCCAGTGTAGGTGAATTCTTTATCTCCCAAAGCAGGGCAGCTCCAGGATTCTCAAGGGTGAGAATTAGGAGGTATTCTAAGGTGGATCCCAGCTCAAAAATGATAACGTATTTTTCAGAATAAATTTTAGTATTTTTTTTCTGTTTCTAAATGTAAAATTTGCTCATTGGAAAAAAAATTGCTCACTGTAGACAATTTAAAAAATACTGGAAATTGTAAATAAGGGAATGAGATGGGAGTACGCTTAAGACCTCCAAGCTAAAGAAGCCCAGCTGTCAAGGCTGTGCGCATCAGAAGCGTGAGGGCTCGGGGTTCACATACTGGGCTTGAGGCAGCGGGAGTAGTTCAAGCCTCCTCTGCTTTGGGGATGGGGTTCTTAAATGACTCTCCTTTTTTGCCAAGGAATGCCTGAGAAATGTGAGCGATGGTACAATATTACACACCTACCACAGTACACAGGAGTCCCACTTAGTATTACTTGCCTCTCCCTCCTCCCCTTCAGACTAGATGTCAGACTGGGGTTGCAGTTTGTTCCCCCTGAATGTAAGTTGAGTGCTGCATTTGCAGTGCTCAGTCAGTATCTGGCCTAAGCACTTAATCAATGTTTATAAAATACAAAATAAGTGAAGGTCTTGAACATAGATGTTCTCATAAAAGTCTTGAATATAGATGAAGTCATAAACGTCTTCAGAACATAGAGCTGTGCCAGGCTTGGGAAAGTAGGGATTAAGCAAGACAAAAATGAAATTAATAAAATGTATTTGACTGATTTTGGGAAATATATTAATGCCCAACAGAAATGTCATTAAGTGTGAAGGGCTCCTTTTCTCTGGTGCTTTATCGATGAAAAGCATCCAGTGTGGGTGCCAAAAGGACTTAGCTTAAAATTCTAGCACTGCTGTTCACCAGCCGCGTTAACTTGGACCAATACTTAACCTACTTTACTTCAATTCTTACACATTGTGAATAATGGCATGTGCCTGGTGGGTGACTGTAATAAGATCAAAGGAGATAGAGTATGTAAAGCATTTCGAGGTACGATAGCGGGGTTTGCAGTTACTCCCCCTTCCCTGCCCGGTCTCCGGCCTGGCCTTACGCAGGGTGACTAAATCTGGCTGCTGGGGAGGTGAGCTAACCGTGCGGCTTTCCCACTGTGAGAACTGGCTCACGGAGGGAAGGTCTTAGCATGGTAACTGCCAGCCCTACCAGCATAAACTTTTCTAGCACCGTGTGTGATTTTCAGTGACGAAAAAAAACATATTGTGGCATAAAGGTAATGTGATTATAGACTTCAGTGTCTCAGGCATAGTCTTTTGATGTGCGGAGCAATTCCTGTAAAGATGCACTGTTGACTGATTTGAGGTCCCTAGTGGAATAAATCACAAATGTCAGCAGTACGATTGATCACACAAGGGAATCCTGAGACTTGTATTGGAAAATTGGAACCACGGTCCCATGGGAAAACGTGTTGAGGCAGACCATTGTAGAGGAAGGGGTTAAGGTGGCGCTCAGGTTGGCAGAATACTTGGTGTGAAGGGGACTGGTATTTCTGTAATAATTTTAGAGCTGCTTCCAGTGGAACTTTGTAGTAAACCAGTCCTTGCTGCCATTCGAGTTCTTTACTGTCTCTGCTACCTTTCTCTTATGCCTGACCTGTTTCTTCCATGCCGGGAAGTTTCTTGACTCCGGGGGCCTTAATTATCCCTCCTCTAAATACGTCTGGAATTTTATGATGCTCTAAAGGGACAGAATATAACATTATGCATTGCCAGTGAGTCATACTATCACAAATTGCTGCAGCCTGTATATTGTTTCAGTTTTATATTTTAGGTCATGAAAAACTTAAATGCTTCACTTAGTTACTTAAGGTATAAATTCTGTACAAAATACTTGCATTAAATAGAGAGTCTCACACTACAGCTGAGTGTGGCCTGGCTTTCATAACAACCCGCCTAAAGTTTGGGGAGCTGAGAAGGACATGCTAGAACTGCTTTATGTTTCCCATGCTTGTTCCATTTCTGTTTTGTGGCCCGGCATGAAAAGATATTGGAAATTTGAGTCCTTCTCTTCAAAGGCTTTTATTTATACATTAGAATAAGAACCACGTTTTAAAGGGCCCCTCTTTCTCTGTCCATAACGCTCCTTGTGATAGCACTTTAATGGAATGTGGCACAGTGAAGTAAGCTAGCCCCAAGGCCACACCTCCTCAAAGAGGGTAGACTATGCAGTCCTGATATGTCTCCTTAAGGAAAAGAGTCAGTGAACAGCCCTCATGATCCTGGGGTCCTCATTTGTGGTCACCCTATACTCAGCTCTATCTCCCTGTCACAGGCAAAATGGCTCGTGCCCTCTGCCCCCAATGACTCACGCCATTCAGATGGCATCATGCTCAAAGTTCCGAATTTCTTCACCTGGTCCGGATGTGGCCCTGCTTGGCCTGGAGACTTCATGAACTAAAAGGACCAGTAGTCTGTCTCTTGTGTCCCCTCCCATCCTCGTGGAACTGGGATAGATAACTGAAAAACCACTGCCATCAGAACGTGGAGGAGTGGGAAATACAGCAGTCACAGAGCGGTAGCAATTCTGATCTCCCTGCGCAGGCCTTTTGGGGACCCCCACCTTGAGTTGAACATAGTAATGAATATTAATTATGCCCACATTCTGCTTTCTGAAGGACTTCCCCGGCCCCCCTGTCTATTGTTCCCCATGCCCATTGGCTCCATCCACCCTTTTTAGAGTTTCTTTCTTTTCTAGTAATGTCCTTGGCCACCCCTGAAATTGGTACTGGAGAACAGGCCTTCTTTGAGGGCCGAGCAGTTTTCTTTGGCAGCTTTCGGTCTGCAGGGCTGTGGTCCTCTCCTGATACAGACTGGTGGTGGTTTTAACAGTACAACTCTCAAAAACTTGGCTCACTGCTTACCTGATTTCTGTCAGCTCCATGTATCAATAGCTAGATCTACAAGTTGGGCTAGAAATGACTCTTAGATTTTCTGTATTTCTCCTCTTTTTTCCCTCTACATGTGCTCCCTCCTTCCTTATTTGAGAGCATCTTTTCTCTACCAGCTTTCAGTTGGAGACCTACCCCCTTCTCTTTTTCCTTAACCATTTATCCTCAGTGAAAGAATTTACTCAGTGCCACATGAATCACACAGAGGTTTTTATATCAGGTGTGATGGCTATACCCTTGATTTGATCCTTACCTGAGGCTAAGTTTTAATCAGCTTTTGTTCCTTCAAAGGCCTTCATTCTATTTTTAACCATTTGGGGTTGAGAAGTCGGTTGCCTCTTCTAGTCTTTTAAGTCTGAATGTGAACCAACCAATTATTTTTTGATATCATATCTTTCTTGCATGGGTTTCTTTTGTCTCACTCAGTTATTTTCTTTTTCAGTACATTCCTTGTCTTTTCATCTTTTCCTTTCACTTTTTCCTCTAATCCTGTTTTTCACCAGTTTCATAGAGGCCATGTCTCTTGTACACTATTGAGGGCGCCAGATCATTTCCGGACTGTTCTAGCGCATCCATCACAATACCCAGTAAGCTCTTTCTTTGAGGATTCCAGAGGCTGTTCCTTTCCTCTTCCAGAACATTTTCTTTTTCACATGGCTTGTGTTTCTATTCTCCATTTTTTATTCCATTAAAAAGTGAAACCTGCCAAATGTGTTTTCTAACAACAAATAGTCTCCTTTACCTTCCTCTTGGACCTACATACAGCTCAGGGCAGGTTGACCTACGCAAATTCCAGTTCGATTCTCAATTTCTCGAAGGCTTTTGCTCAGATGAAATCTTTACTTACCCTCCCTGCTGGATTTTTTTGGTTTGGGTGGAAAATATGAAAACAGAAATGTGGAGCATTTGCTGCCACCACGAGTATTCCTTTCCTTGCTGTCTGTTCCATGCTGTGTTTATGAGGGCTGGCCTCAGACTGTAATGTGTCCTTGTAAGCTCCCTTAAACTGTCCTCCCAGTTGTTTTCTAGGAATGGGTGGCCTGCCTGAATGTGCAAAGATGGGAGGAGGGAGAGCAGAGGTGTGCGTGTGTGCGTGTGTGCGGTTTGGGGACAGCACACAACAATCTCACCAACACAAATATCTCCACTGATGGGAATTTAAAGTTGGCTGCAGTTTTACGGGGGATACAGTTCTTGAGTGTCTGAATCAGATAACCAACTGCAGAGGATGTTTGAAGCGCCTTCGTTTTTTCAGGTGGTCCCAGTTTCACGAGGCCTAAGCTAGTTATGGCATGACAGGGTTTTTTCCCCCCTTTCCTCAATCAAGTGGATGATTTATGTTTATGTTAAATGAAATCCTTCCAGGTTCTGGTGTTATCTTGTTGATTTTAGTTTTACTTGCAGTGATTTCTTGAATTATTTTCTGCATGTTTGGAAATTGAGAGAGGGAACAGGATTCAAGGCACACATGATTTTACACTGCAATTTCTGGCTTTGTCTGCTGGCACCTAGAAAGGAGTGCTTGTGTTTTTAAGTCTGGTAATAGAATTCCTAAACAGTAAATACTAGGATTTTTTTAAAAAAAAGATTGTATTTATTTTCAGAGAGACTGGAAAGGAGGGAGAAAGAGAGGGAGAGAAACATCAGTTGGCTGCCTCTCACACACTGCCAACCAGGGACCTGGACTGCAACAAAGGCATGTGCCCTGGCTGGGAATTGAACCGGGGATCTTTTGGTTCACAGGCTGGTGCTCAATCTACTGAGCCACACCAGCCAGGGCAATATTTTTATATTTGGCTTTTTACTAGCAAGGCAAGAGTTTTACTGTTTCACTTGAACCTGACGTTATCTCATCTTCCGTTTCAGATCCCAGCGGCAGCGATGTTTCACTTCTTCAGGAAGCCTCCAGAGTTGAAAACGCCCTCAACGCCAGAGAAAGAGGCAGATGGGTTTGTCCTTTTAGGTGAGTCTTTTTAAGAAATGAAGTCATAATTCCATGGGTTATTTTTCTTTTAAAAAATTACTTGAAAATTGTAGGGCTTGTTTTCAAAGTTATTTCCTAGCGATTCCAGAATTTATTTATATGAACTCTATAAAAAAAAAAGTTCAGTAATCATTTAGAATATTGTCATCAAGTCCGACTCTTCTTATGTATTGGTTTAGCCATGTTCTGCAAATTGTTTGTAAAATTATCCCTTTTTTTTATGTGATATGCTAGTCAACCTTTTTAATTGTTGAAACCATAAGTCTTGAAGAATCCTTATAATTTTAAGTTCTGTTTTATAAATAGCAAGCCTTTCTTAAATTAGCATTGTAAGGCATCTGAAATATAAATATTTGCTGAACGTAGTACACTTTTCAATTCAATATTAAATAGTGTCTCCTAAATGTTTAAGCCTAGTTTGTTTCCTATTGTAAAATTAATACTACTAATGATTAAGGTTTTAGTGGTTTAAAAAATTATTTCTTCAATCCTATACTTTTCCCAAGGAGAATTCTGAAAAATAACATTTTCTTCATGTCATTGTATCTTTCCCTGAGGAAGGGATTTGTATTCTGGTGAAGAGGAACCAAAACTAGGTTTTGTTTCCCATTGTGGCAGGCACCTTCTGCAACCCTGGACCTCCTCCTGCCAAATTTTGGCTCCTCCTCCAAGAAGATTTGCATGAACTCATAGGGTGTTTACTCCCCAGGATATTTCTCAGGTGTCTTCCCTTCCAGGTTCTGGTTTCCTACCTCTTCCTTTACCCTGGCCCAGTCAGGCAAGGGCGCCCTGACGTTAGTAGGATTGAAGGGTTGTCCTGAATTTCCTCTTAGACCCTCCCAGAGCCAGGGCTCCTGCCATGCCTCTGACCCCACACATTCTGAGGTATGGTGGGTGGGTCTCTGCCTCTTCACCTTTGTCTTTAGGATCTGGCCTCTTGCTGAAATGACACAGAGGTTTTATCTCTCTGGCCCTCTCCCAGTTCTTGGCTTTGATCTCTGGGATATCAGAATAGTGTTTCTCATAGCTAAATGCTACCATACAATTATCCCATCTTTTCCACTGTCAAGTTCTGGCAAGCCTGTGTGTTTTTCTGAATCTGCTTCATATGCCCTGTGACGGGGCAGTAGCTGGGGTGGTCAGAGTTGGTTTTTTTCCTGACCAGATCCCCTACACCTGAAGCAAAATATTGGGGCATAGTCAGACCAGGGCCTGTGATTTTTCTGGGGTGCTGTCTGACTGGAATAAAGTTGGGTGCTGTGGACATGGCTGCTTATCTGGCCTTTCTTAGCATGTCAGGCATTAGTGCCTTGCCTTCAAAGTGAGAACTGACTCTGTCAACACCAACTTCTGTTCCTTGAAAGCTGCCAGCATTGCTTCCCTTTCATTTAACGAATTAGCCTCACTAATAGAAGAACTTCAGGGATATCTCTGGTCTCCTGTGAAGTGTGAAGTTGCTCCTTCTTCAGGAGTTTCACAGTAAATTCTTCTCTGAGAAATTTTTTTTCAATAAAACCTGATTTTTAAAATTCTTCTGTATTCTTTATTGTACAACACCTCTGTAGTCTTAACTTAGGCAGATAACCTTGCTTTTTTCTGTAGTTTCATGAATAGAAATCAAAGTTATTCTTCTTGTTATCAAATAGCTATTTAAGGATGTGAGGTTAATATAGAGAGAATTCAATAGACAGATTAACTGGAGAAAGGCATACAGATTTTTACATGTCCATGGGAGACCTCATAGAAAAATGAAGATCAAAAGAAATGGTAAAACCTAAGTGCTTATATACCATGTTGATTAAAGAGGCAGTTATGGAAAAGTCACTAAAATATGTGGGAGACTGACAGAAGATAAGAGGACTTTAACAAGGTCTGCCTGTATAGTTCTCTTAGCCTCGACTCCCCATCTCTGGTGAGAAGAATGTCTTGTTCCTCCTGGTGTCTTTTATATGGGGGCTTTATCCCTTGCTTTCAGTTCAAAATCAACCTTATGCCAAAGTGGCATATTTTGGGGTGGTGTACCTGCCACCCTTCACCGTTTTGGGCAAGTTATATAACTTCCTGGGTGTCATTTTGCTTATCTAGAAGATGAGCATAGCAGTACAAACTCCTCTTGTTATTGAGGGGATTAAATGAGAGAACGTGTGTAAAATGCTTAGAAAAACCCTGTGACTGGAGTGTTGGCATTATATTGTAATGGGCGGACACAGTACCCTGGAAATGGGGGTGGGTTTGAGCTGGCACGTGCGACTGCAGACTTCCCTCCTTGCCAAACACAGTGGCTGCAAGAGAGGCAAAAGCAAATATGGCCGGCGCTGGCCCTCAGTGGTTGGAAGGCTGGGCACTCCCACTGGCTTTCATCAGTGCATCGAATTCTGGGAGAGGGCTTTTAAATAGAGCGCCTCAGAAGCAAAAAGTCAGTGGTCTGGTGGGGGTGGGGGTGCCCATGGTGGCCAGCGTAGGAAGAGGGCACCAGGATTGGATGCCTGGGGGCACAGATTCTGAAAGGCCTGAAGCTGGACCCCCTAAGCCACCTACATTCACAATGCTTCTGGGTGGGAAAAGAGGTTCCTGGCACAACCTTGAAGTGAGCTGGCAGAGGGTGACAGGGTGATTTTTCTTTTGGTATCTTAGAGGAGATGGGTTTTCAGGAAGAAACTTGCCATTATTTCCAAAGACCTTGGTGATAATAGCACTGTGAACAGATATTTGTTCTTGCGTTACTTTCGGTTCTTGAACCTCTGTAGTAGTATAATGACAAATGGTGAAATAGCTATTTTTGATGTCCTACTCTGACTTTTTCTTTCCTTTTACTTTTGTTACCCAGATATTTTAGGCAGAAACTTTTCATTAAATACAAGATTCCTTCCTTTTTCACTTAACTCTGTCTTTGGAGATTTGCCTGGTAGGTAGCAGATAGTAGGACCCTGCCCGCCGCCCCCCGCCCCGCACCCCCCGCCCCCTGCCCCCATCCCTGCACTGGTTGGGTTTGGTAACAATATCTCCATATACAGGTGAGGACTTTTCCAAGTTCCTCCTGCTAACACAGCAGATCTGAAATTAGCCCAGGCATTCTGTCTTCAGCGCTTGCCTCCTACCCTCTTAAACACTAAGCTATCTATTTTTTAAAAGTGTCATATTATCATTTTTAATTTTAAGACATTATTGACATTTTTGAGATTAAAATAAAATTAAATTGCGTTCCTCATTGTTTCAAAGAGAAAGTCCTGATTTTTTTTGTTTGTTTTTAATAAAAGAGGATTGGTATATTACTGTTCTTAAAGTTTGGCTTTAATTTTGACTACCTCCAAATTTTCACTATTTAATATTTTAAATATATAAGGTATTATAGAAATCTGTAATCCTTTTAATGACGTTGAGGTTGGAAGATGTTATACATTGTTTAGTTAGCAAAAAAAATCCTTCAGCAGAGAAGGACTTAACTGAATTGACTGATAAAACTCAGGACAGATTACTAGGAATATAGTTAATTGTGTTTAAAAAGAATGATAATGTCTTTTTTTTAAAAAAATAATTTGTTTTGCTGATTTGCTCTTTTTTATTATATGGTTCTATACTGACATACATTTCTACTTTAGTCTCAGAGCATACCATGGAAGAAGATATTTTGGAAATGCCAAATAGGTCAAATGATAGGTTTGAAATGCTATTATTAACATGGCTCCGTACTTACACACATGTACTTTGGTTATCATGTATCTGTATAGCTTTCTTTGTCCTCATGTGCGATGGATAGCATTGCAGGGAAATAAAAGCATGTGACTGGCTTAACTTCTAAATGATGCAACCAACTGAAGACTTAGAAACATGATTATAATATGGCAACAACTTCTTATCAATATGTAGTCTACAGAATTTTAAAAATTATCATTGTGCGTGGCCATTACAACCTGTTTCTAACAAGGCCAGAGTAAATTATGTTGTTAAAAGTATAAATTATCTATTTTTTTTCCCCCCACTTAAGAATACCTTTTCCCCTAGGCAGCTCTTCTTGTTTAGCACAAATAGGTTTTAGGTCACAATTATTAGATGGCATTGCTGAGTTGCTAAAGTAAACACCTTGGGACCTGAAATTCAAGGCCCAGGCAGAGCCTAGGTACTTCTGTTGATAATAGGAATACCTTGGCTGTTCATATACAATTAGCTCACTTTTGGATGTAAAACTTCTCTGTTAATTTATCCTTTGTAGAATGTTGAGTGTGCTGAATAAGAATAAGGAAAAAGAAACACCTAGTGGAAAAACATCCTTTCCCTTGTAACCAGCTCCCCTTCACATAAGAAGGTAATAGCTATTCATTCATCAGAAATGAAGTTGAAGTAATCCTCCAGGGCACTCATTTTACACAAAAACAAGTTGCAGTTTTCATTTGCATCACTGGGTGGCGATTTTTCTTAGTCTTATGCTGCTGTTTAAAACCCCAGCAAGCATGGTACTATTTGTCATTAGCAGGGTTTTATCCTGTTATGACATGTTTAATTGTACTTTTAAGACATTATCTTTAAGTTGATTACAAATTTGCTACTGTAGTGTACAACCTCGTAGTTATTTTAAATTAGGAAAAAGGGGTATCTGTTGTCAAGATATTGGCATGTAATTCCTTTCAAAACTAAGACAAAAGCATGAATTAGCTTAATATGCTATAGCTAAGTGAAGGAAAAATAACAGCAACAATCGCCCCACCCCAGAATATCAAATGAAAAGGGATGATTTAAATTACTGTTGTTCAGTGATACTATTGACCAGATATTGAATATAACTTTGAAGCAGGCAGAATGAATTGGGCAGGAACTATTTCAGAGATTAAAGGAATTGGATTACAGTTCAACTGCAATTCATCATGTTTTTCAGAATATGCAGGTGCTTCTTAAAGGAGGGCGTAAGCACTTCTAGTTTTAAGCTAATTATTTTGTAAAACTCATTGAATTTAGAATCAGAGTTTAGTAATTCACAGCAGCTT